TTATGTGTCTCTGGAACTGATGCACAGAATGTACATAACACCACCTATGAAGTATTCTGGCAAAAAGGAAAATGCGAGAAAGAAAACAAACGAAATCACTCTTACTCAGTACCCTTTGGGAAAAAAGGTATATATTTCTTAAACAGAGGATGACTATAGAACAAAACAAAGCTAATAAGCCTTTTGGTGAAACTGACCTTGGCTTCTGTCAAACTGCAACTGAAGGTTTATTTAATAAGCATAGCTTAAGCAACTTCCGTAAAGAGAAAATATTTAAACAGAAAAGAAATAATGTACTAAAGACACACACGTAACAAACAACTTTAAAATCACATTGTGTAAGCATGCAATGGCTTTATACTTTCTCATATTTCCATCACTAAATATGTTGTACTACTAGCCACAACCAAGAACAGCAATTAAAAAAGAAATCACAGTCAATTCAATGTACTCATATTGAGTTACTTATAAGAACCATAACATTTTGGCATGACAGAGGGCTCCCTGGAAATATATAAAAAGATTTTTAAATACAGCACTATTTAAAAAAAACTATTACAGTAATTAAAAACTGTACAGGCTTAAAGAGTATTGAAGTTTGTGACAATTTCATTCATCTGCTTAGAAAATCCAAATTTTCATATACTGAAGTTGCCTAAATCTAGAAACACATGTACTTTTATATTTAAACAATATTAGGTACCAAACATCAGGCTTAAACCATGATAACCTTCAAATTTATATTTAGAGGTAACACGAAGACCTCTCTGCAAAATCTCGTTTCCAGAAACCCTGACAATTTGATAAGGGAACTATGAGTTCTTAAAGTTCCAAACAGGCTCATCAGCTTTACCAGTGCCATATAAAACCATGATTCCTAACCTTTCCAGAGATATCCATAAACAGTTTATTTAGTTTCATGACACAGTCCACCTGTACTCTCTGAAAGTGCCATGTGCACTAAACTTTTTTCAAACTATCATTCGGGATAATTTTATAAAACCAACTGAGAGATGAATGTACAATACAAAAAGATTGGAAACCACTATCTAAAGCATAAAACATTACTAGTAATAAAATAGGTCTAGCAGACAAAAAAAAAACAAAAGCTATAACATCAAGCTCTAACACACGAGATCTCCACCAGAAAGCTGAAACTTCAATAACCAAACACACCATATGGATGAGATATCTGACATCTGCCCAAGCTCAAAAATCCTCGCTCCCTAATTGTAGTAGCCACAGAAAATAAAATGGAATCTGGAACTCTAATGGGTCTACAAGCTCCAGCGTGTAAACAGATACTAAACAATTATAGCCCACGTTATAATCAAGATGCTGATAAAGAGATCTAAGCATTTTTAAACCAAGTCAACCACCTTTTCTCCTCCTCTGCAAAATGATTACAAATAAAGTTGTGTCCCTAAAGATTATTAACCCCTCTTCAAAATATGATTCTGGTTAACTAAATATTTATGCATTTCCTGAAGTAAACAGAATTCCAGTATTTTTCTGTAAAGCCTGACACTTTGCAGTTTGATTTTTATAACTTGATTTCTATAGTCATCTTTAAAAATAATTTTAAAGTTTGTTATTTAACACTGTGTATATCTAAATTATTTAAGTGCAAAACAAAGGAATTCGATCTGCCTTTGGTATTCCAACTAAAGACTTCCTGTTAACAGCAGGATTTCTTCCTTTGGCACAGACAGTGCCTGACTGGTACGTTGGCCGATAAGTTAAAGGTCAAATTTCACAACTAAACGGAGAACTTGCTAGCCCCTAAAACCCTTTCAGGTACTAGACAACTTGTTTTTGTGCTTAACCCTTGAGACCTGGTGTTTCCCAAAAGTCTAAGTAATAACTAATTGGCAGGAATTATGACACTCACTGTCATTACAAAATTACTTTCTTCCATATCTTTTTTATGCTTATTACATTATTAACAGTAGTAAAATTTAAAACTCAGGAAAATAAATCTGTCTATAGCACATCCTTACCCTCCCACAAACTTACTTTCTCCTTTCCATCCACTCAAATTCCTTGAACTCTCTCCAGCATAAATCTTGAAAACAAGTCTTTTCAAGATGAATTCAAGAAACTTCCAGCTATTGTCTCATATTCAGATTTTTTTCCTTCTGGAAAAGACAGTTGTTAGACCTTTCTGTTTGGTTAATAATTGGTTATTAATCTTTCCCTGCCACTTAAAAGACTCCTTCAAAGAACTACCGTTCTTTCCAAAAAGGTAAAACATTAAATCTTATTGCCCTGATATAAGGTTACCATGAGAAATTTCTCAAGTATGTATCACTGCTGTAATAAATACAAATCTTTCTTTAAAATGACTTTCTTTAATTTGAAGAAAGAATCCAATTAACTGTATTTTACTTCTAAATCGTGATTATAAAATTGTTTCAAAGTCTATCTTTAAACTCACAAAAACTATATCAGATTGCTCCTGAGAGGATCAGTAGAAATTTAGTTCTTACAGTATTTCCTCAATGATATTTTGCAAATCAGAATTTTAAAACAAGATTTTAACTTGGTATTACTAATTCTTCATAATTACATCAGGCAGAAAAGTGTTAGGAGCTATCGATGATGTCTGCAATATAAATACACATGGGAAAAGTGAGTGGAACGGACAACAATCTGTATTAATGATAAAGAGACTGTTATAAGCTATTACTCCTGCTGCCCTTCAGTTACCAAAACCGTCCTAAGACTCCAGACTTGAAATCTCTGGAGATTTCATTCACTTTTTCAACTATTCATTTTTGGAGCACCCGCTGTGTAGCCAGGTGCTGTTAATCCTATCTGCCTCTTCTCTTTCCTTCATCCCTCAACCCCATTAGTGGCCAAGTCCTATCAATTCAGATGTGTCCCACTTCTCCCCTTTCCAAATGTCCCTAGCCTAGGTCAGGTCTTCATTAACATTTAAAATATTAACCACCTAACATGCACCAAATGTAAGATTATGAAGTCACTGAAACTACTCACAGCATATAACATTAAGCAACTCATCCAAATAAAAGGCAGGGAGATCAAAGTGTACAGAGTACAATCACATCAAAGTAAAAAAGGATGTCCTGGGAAAAGATGAAAGAAATAACTAAAATACTAACAATCTCTGCTGTGATGCTCTATTTTCCCGCATTTTGCAAATTTCCTACAATAAGCAGATAGTACTCCAAAAGAAAATATAAATGAGCTTTATTTTAAAAACTATTTTGGTTGGATAACAAATTATTTCTGAGGTTTAAAACTACACAATATTAGAAAGAGCCAAAATAAACACCGAAGGATGCAACTGTCTAATCCTTTAACGTGGTTCTTTAAAAAAAAGGCACTCACACATGCTCATTACAGTATTTCTATATGCCTAGAAAACCTCTCCTCTTTAATGTGCCAATGAGACTCCAACATCAGCTTTCACAAAATAAGCTGCTATTAGCACCTATTCCATGCTATTCCTCAATTTTCAAAACTTTAGTGATTTACTTTTTCCCAAATCTATAATTAAATCTCACTTTTCCTTCAAAAGCATCATAGATTTGCCCTTTCTTCTCCAATACCACTAGCACCTGCAGTCCCCTTTTCTCTAGGAATCTATCCTGAGTACAACTGGTAAACTAACCTTTAAACACCGCTTTCATAAAATTACTTGTCTTTTTGAAATCTGCCATGGCTTCTGCTTGACTCAAGTTTAAATCATGTTGTTGAACCACAAATCTCCATTCCATCTTATTTCTTCCAACTAGGCAGAACTACAGAGTTCCTTAGATTCACATCATGCCTACTCTGTTTTCACTGGGCTGTTCTCAATTTTCCACCTAACATGCCCTTCTTCTGCCCATTAATCTAAAATCCAAGCTGGAAACACAGATCATGTCCTACGTCTTGCACGAACCACTCTCTAAGTATTCCAGCCTACCCTGATCTCTCTCTTCTGACTCCCTATTGCACTTACAGTCAGTACTGCAAAGTGTAACAACTAATTGTTTTGTGATTATTTTGCAAATAGTGGTTTTGTTCCCCCAACTAAAGCACCAGAGGGTAGATATCAAGGAGGTCAGGGAAAATGCTAGACACATAAATAATTAATATTAACTGAATGTTTTCTACACTCAAAATACTCAAGTGCTAAACTGTTTCTAAGTCACCTTATTTGAAGTCTCACGGGCCAAAAAAGTAAATGTCTCACGTACTTTTTATGTTTATCCTGCCAAAATTTAAAGGCTTCAACTAACTAGGAAAAAACAATCAGATGAGAAAGTTTAATTTTCAGCTTGCATCAGTTTATCTAACATAATCCAGTACTTTAGGAATAAAGTAGAACTATCTATTTCTCCTATCTCTTCTGCTCCTTGTACAAGTATTCACAAGTTAGCAAATATGGAAAACGGATTTTAAAAAATTATATGGCTAAAACTTTTGCCCATTCCAAAAAGAACAACAAAAACACATGCTTAATACACTACTAACCACTTGACAATAAGGCTTTTTGACCAACTTGAAAAATAATTACTGAACTCTGAGAACAGTTTTGTTAAGAGACCCAGTGCAGGTTCTAGCTAAGTAATGATGCAGTTGCCCGTGGTATCACCCACCGTGCCCACTTCTCCCTAACTTTCCTTTCCAGGTGCTAAGTCCAGTTTCTCTGAAAAGCTAACCTTCCCATTCTACAAAGTCTTAGATGCAGTCCAACCGGAGACATTAAATTCTCTAGCTTTTCAAGGTTCACAGTGCTAACAGTCTTACACAGCCTTCAGATAAGTACCAAGTTTCAATAAAATGAGTTAATAAAATAGACGAACATAAAATTCTTTCACTCAGCATAGGTTAATAATAGTTTGCAAGGTGGCTTAGCAAGACTGGCAAAATGGGAAGTATTCCTCTAGGAGTATCTGTTGGCTTCCCAGGAAAACCCAGAAAAGAGCATCTTTTTAATTAAGTGTTAATAAATCTAAACTAATGTAGTATTCGTAATTTTAAGTTACCTGAAGTATGCCTCCCCTGACTCTGCGGCACTCTTTGGAAGAGATCATGGTTGTATTCGTAATATCTGTAGTCTTCAGGCGCACGATCTCCAAGTGGGCGCCTTCTCTGACCATCAAAATAATTATCTGAATAATAATATCGGGAACCAGAGTCTCCATTTTCAACAGCAAAATTAACTTCTGTTAAAAATGACTGAGAAGAGCCATATTCCCTAGGGACATCTGCTAGACTCCTGGCAAGGTAAGAAGGTGCAGATAATCTGTTGCTTTCTCTTCTCATTATTTCATGAGGTGTTCTTTGAATTGGAGTTCTAAGGAAACTCTGGTTTCTTGAAACCATTCCATCTCCAGAAGCTGAAAAGGCATTAGCGCTTGAATCTGGAAGACAGATATCAGTTCGCCTTGGAATTGTTGGACCGTGCCGGATGAATGAAGGCATGAGATCTATAATAAAAGAGTAAAATGACCATTTCAATAAGTAATAAATACACCTTCCAAAAGCTGTTCATTTACATATCACCCCCAAACACAAAATTTCAATCGACTTAAGAAAACACAGTTTAAATTTTTGATTTAAGATAAGTTTATTTTAAAATTGAGGCTGATTAATATTTTCTTACTCAAATGAATTTATAATTTGTGTGAATGTATGTGTAAGCTCAGTCAGAATCAAACGTATTCTGCATACTACCATACATAATATGATAACACGCCAATAAGTGTAACTATGACTTACACATTAATAAAACACGAATAAATGTGTAAAAATAGGAAACAATCTAACAAATGAATACACAGTTACCAGCATAACTTAATATATTTTGTTTTGTTGATTTCACTTTATTTTTGAAGTTTGCAAAAATCTTTCTTCAAGCAAACACTACTTCAAAAATGACAAAACATAATGTTATTCCCTACACAGGAAAACGTGAATTCCTTTAAACAGATTTTTTAATTATTAACCTGGTCTTCCTACTTTTGGCATCACGTAGCACTGATACAGTCACCAAGAGCTGCAAAGCCAAAAATTTAGCTACGAAAATTGAAAAACAAAACGATGTCGTTTCAAAGAGGCACAGAAACGTTCCATCAGTTCAAACGCTGATGTTTGCACTGTGGCTCCTCTAAGAACCAGTAATTCAACACAGAAGATAACACTGGAACGACGGCTTGCAAATTCCAGAGCTTCTGAACCAAGAAACTAGCGCAGACATCCCCGCGTAGGAAGCCAGCGCCTTCCAAACACGAAGACACCCGGATCCGCAGGCGGTCCAGTCAGCCGCGAGCCGCGCAGCGCCGCGGCCGGGGACAGGCTCCCGCCTGACGAAGCGGGAACACGGCACCCCCGCAGCGACGCGCTCACAGGGTGGCGAACGTATTTCGTGATTTCAGGTAACGCTTAAGAAACTTCACTCGCGGCGAACCGCGAGCTATCGTAAACTCAGTCAAATCCCTCAGAAAATGTGTAACTGAAAATAAACTGTGGAAGAAACGCTTAAAAACCCCGTTTCCGGTCACGACGCGCCGGTCCGAGGACTCGCCGCGCCAAGCGCAGGGCCGCCGCCGAACCGGAGCCGCGGCCGCCGGAAGCGCTCCGCCCGCGGCCGAGCCCGGGGGCCCGCGAGCCGCGTCCAGCGACGGGTGAGCTAACGCCGAGGCCGCGGGCCCGCCGCCTCCGGGAGGAAGGCGCGCCGGCCCACGCGGGACGCAGGGCGGGAGGCCAGTCCGCGCGCCGCACGGCGCTCCCCTCCGCGCGACCGGGGGGCTGCGAGCGCTGCGGCCGGGGTCCCGGGCGCTGCGGGGACGCGGGGCTCGCGCGCACGGCGCTGGCCGGTGCCTCCGAGGTCTGAGGACCGCATGGGCGGCAGCTGTCCCCTGGGAGCGCGCCCGCGACCCCGGCAGCGCGCGCCACACGGGCCGGCCCGGTCCCCACAGCCGCTGCGACGGCCCCGGGCCGCGCACTCGGCGGGCCCGCCGGCGTCCGGGCGGGAGGACCTCAGTCCCCGCGTCCCCGCGGCGCCCCCGAGGCCCTACCCCCCGCGCGGCCGCGCCGCACTCACTGCGCAGCAGGGGCGACGTCTCCTTCTTCACGTACTTCCCCTGCACCTCGGCCGGCTTGCGCGCCTCGCCCTTGGTCTTCTTTCGGGACAGCATCCCCGCCCGCCCGCGCGCCGCCGCCGCCGCCGCCTCGCCACCCGGGGCCCCGCAGGGCCTGCCGCATGGTCGCGGCGCTACGCGCGCCGGCCGCCGCTCCGTCGCCTGTCAGTTCCTGCCCGGAAGTCTGCCCGCCCCGCGACGCGGCCCGAGGCCTCGGGGCCCGCAGCCCCGGCACGCCCCGCCGGGCCCATGGCCGCCTCGCCGCCGCCGCCCGCGTCCTCCCGCTGCCGCCGCCGCCGGGAATTCTGGGAACCTCGACGCCGCCGGGCGCCGCCGCCCTCCCCTTCCCCCCGCGCCCCTCCCTCCCCCCTGACCCCTCCCTCCGACCCTCCCTCACACCCCTCCCCCGTCCCCTCCCCTCACACCCCCTCCTCACACCCCGCCCCCTCCCCGCCCGACCCCCCCTCCCCCCCCCTCCCCGCCCCTCCCCCGCCCCTCTCCACACCCTCCCAGGCTCCCCCGCCCCCGCGGCGCCGGGCTGCGGGCCGCGCGCACAGCTAACCGGCTGCCCTGCCGAGTCCCCGGCGCTGCGCGGCCGCCGCGGGCTCCTCAGCGAGAAGCGGCCTGCGGGCGGCGGAGGGCGGAGGAGTGAGCGCGGGGCGGAGCCCTTCGCCCACAGGTTTCCTCAGGCCTCGGGCGCCGGGCCGCCCCGGGACGCTGAGCGGGCCCTCGGGGGATGCTCGGCGGCGAACGGCCCCGACGACGCCGAGGGCGCAGGTGGGGCCGCCGCCCGGCGAGAGGCCGGGGCCTCTGTCTGGAAGCGGGAACCCAGCTCGAGTGGCGACCGTGGGCCCGTCCCCCCCGTCCGCCGGCGCCTCCTGTGAAGGGAGGCCGAGGACAGAGGCGAGACGGAGTTCCTGCTGCCCTGGGCTCAGTAACTCGCTGCAGGCCTGGGGTGTCGTCGCCCTCGCCGCACACCGAGCAGCCGCGTGTTTCCTCCTCGAGCGAAGCACCGCAGCCTGAGGAGTTGAGGATTTTGAGCAGTAGAGGGCAAGACGGGGAGCGCTCGATGTAAAACCGACCTTACTTTCATCGACATAACTCGGCAGAGCTGCCAGACGTACAGAATGGCCTTGGGGAAGCGAGAGGGGCCCACCCTAGGGACAGGTGAGGGCCTCATCCCGGAGGGTGCTTTTCCCGAGATGGGAACGGCGCGCAGGAGCCTAAGACCGTTAAGAAGGGCCAGAGTCTTCTGCCGCCCCAGCTTCGGAGGAGGGGCAGGTTTTGTTTTGCCATGAACGCGTGCTGTCTGGTCTCCGTCTTTGCGGATGCTGTGTCCGGAGTTCTCACAGTCATTCAGTCAGCAGCGAATCCGGAGCTCCCGCGGGGCCAGGCGCTGCGGCGGATACTTAGGATAGAGCAACAAGCAAACCCCACAAGAAGCCCTTCCCTCACTGGGACGAGACAATAAAGGACAATGAGTAAAACATACTATGTTGCGCTGCTGTAGGAGCCGAGGTGTAAGTACAACAAGACACAGAGGGTGAGCGGCTTCCCACAGTGTGGTAGGATGACCGGAGAAGGCTCATGAGGAGCAGACACGAGTTAGGTGACAAAGTCAGGAGACTGGCTCTGGAGGAAGAGTAATCTAGGCAGAAAGAGCAGCAAGTGCAAAGTCACTGCAAGTCCCCACCGTCTGTCAGACTGGGGGACCTGTCAGAAGGTCTGTAGCTGGAGCAGACAAGGCGAGTATGGGAAGTGAAGTCAGGCAGGTAGCTGGCTGGGCACCTAGGGCCTTGCAGGTCACTGTAAGGAATCTCACTTTGAGCAGAGCAGTGACTTGATCTAATTTAGTGTTTTCATAGGATGCTGTGGAGGCTGTGCTGAGAGTGGAGTCATAGGAGCAAGGGTGCAGTAGGGAGATAGAGGCTATTGCTGGCTAGGCCCAGGGTAACAGCCATGGAGATGACGAGAAGTGGTCATGTTTTGGACATATTTTAAAGACAGAGCCAACAGGATTTGCTGCCAGATTGAATATGGAGTGTGACAGAAAGAGAAATCAAGGATCACTCCTATGGGGTGTGAACCTGATAGAACAGAATAGAGCTCAATAGAACAGCGGGTTATACGCTAAGAACTTCAGAAAAGCAGTGACTTGTTCCGGTGGTTCAGATAAGAAGGACCATAGTGTGGATGGAGAAGAAAGAGTGATGAGACATAAAGAAAGAGAAAACCAGGTGTTGTTCCAGATAGGGCGTGAAGGTGGGAGATGAAGGAGGGAAGGGAGCGCCGAAGAAGTGCCCAGCTTCTGCCCAGGGCTTACCTCAGAAGGATGAGAGAATACAAGGATGTCCGGACCTTGTTAATAAAGCCAGCTAGTCACACCTGGGGTTTTCCCAGAGCCTGAAACACAGGATACCTTTCACATTCATGGGGGAAAGAATCATAGATTTTTATAGTTGGAGAAGAATTCTGGGATCAGCCAGGCTAACTTCATTTTATCAATGTGGAAACACAACTAGACAAATTGAACGTTTTGCTTCAGATTGTATTCCTGGTTAGTGGCAGACTGGTCTCAGAATTGGAGTTTTCTATTCCCATTTTGGGCCTTTTTTTGCCACGGCACATTAAGAATCTCACTAATGTGAGTCCAGACTGTTTCTAACACAGTTGTTTTGAAAGCCATCCATGTTCCCTGAAAAGTACTCCCCTTTTCAATGCTATTCCAATTCTTTGAATTACAGCAGAAAGAAAGCCTCAATTAGGTGCTCTTTTTAAGAGCTATAATTTGCCTTTTTATCCAGGAGGGTGCATTCCAGAATCAACAGTCTGCAGGCAGTCTCAGCAGTAGCAATGCAGAGCAATATGTGAATTTTGAATCCAAATCCTTAAATGCAGTGCTTGGAATTCACATCCATTTTGTAGAAATTCCTAGACTCCTGGGAGTTTTTATTAAGGAACCAGATTTTGCAGACATTGCTTTTGATAAGACTAATACTATGTTACACAATAGAGATACTTTTCCCCTTGCAGTTGTGTTCTCAGTGGACAAAATTGACAATTAGGGAAGCTACTCATGTCATATCAACAACGATTTTTTATTAATTTAGCCTTAAAATTTATTTTAAATGAGGCAACAAGGTTTGACTCTGGGCTGACCTCATACCTCTCTGGGTCTGAGTTTTCTTATCTGAAAATGAAGAAATTGGATTAGTTGATTTCCAAAGTGTCTTTCAGCCCGACAGTTTTCTGCCACATAGGCAGAAGGAAATATACGAAAATAAAGACAGTTACCCTAGTAGGACAATAGGCATATAGATGATGTCCCTTCTTTAAAAATGTTTATCTTTATTGCTATGTTTTCATGAAAAAACTGTTAAAGTGTTAAAATATCAGCATTATATAAAACCATCATTAGCATAAAAATAAAATTTCATGCCAGATTGCTACTTTCAAAGAGAGCCAAGGTTCTTATGCTATTTTTACTTTGTCTTGCTTGAAGCGTGTAAAATTTGAAAGGGTGAACTATCTCATAAAGGATTGTCCAATAAAGAACCAAATGGAAATAAGCCGTAAGATTTGAAAAATGAGGAAAAAGATAACAGAAATAGACTCTATACAAGAAGCCCAATATCCTGAAAATGTGAGTTCCAGAAAGAGAGAATAGAGAAAATGGAGAGGACATCATCAAAAAGTAATACAAGATATTTTTTCAAAGATGAAGGAAAGGGATTTCCTAATTGAAAGGGTTTCCAAAGTACCCCTCAAAATTAATGAAGAAAGATCCATGTGTCAATGCGACATTGTGAAATTTCAGAACATTAGGGATAAAAAGATCCTAAAAGCTTCCCGTGAAAGCAAAAGTCAATTATACAGGAATGGGAATAGACTAGCATCAGATTTTTCATTACCAAGAGAGACTACTATAAGACAATGGAACAAAGCCTTTAAATGAGTGAGGGAAAATCAGTTTCAGTTTACAATTCCATGTCCATCCAAAATGTCAATCAAAAGCAAAGGGAGAATTAACACATTTTGGGGCATGAAGGGACTCAGAAAGTGTACATCTCATATATCCCATCCCGGTAAGTTACCAGAGGATAAGTTCTAACAGAATGAGAGAATAAGCACACACACAAAGAGAAAACAATACAAACAGGAAAATAAGGATTAAAGAAATAGTGACTCTAACTCAGGAATGTAATGAAGTCTCAGCATCACAGCTGTACAGCTGGAACTCAGTCAATCCAGACTGGAATTGAATTTAAGAGCACTCTAGGAGGAAGAACCTAGGAAAAGATGAATTTAAGAAATTTGTACAATTTGCAACAAATTAAGAAGATGGTAAAGGCTGAAGACTCAAGGAAAAAGGAAAGGAAATGAACCATGAAAAACTTGGAGGTCTCCAGCCTTGTATCCCTTCTGAAAAGATCAGCTTGAGGGTGAAATCCAACAACCAATGGATTAATCAGAATTTAAAACTTGGGATTGGAGAAGTAGTTGAAAATGTCTGGTAGCAAGCATTAAATACATTTTAATATAAAAAAGCCTAAACAATTGCAGGAATTAAGATTTTTAGAAATCCACTTTATCTTGTGTTTTCCCATGTCACTACCTCTTTATATTTTTTTAATTTAAAGAGCTTTAGTATCATTAAAAACTTAACCCAAATCATGCATTTAGTTAAGACACGTCTGAACAGGACATTAAATATCAAGATCCTTTGCCTTTGGCTGGTGATGCTGTTTACCTCATGCTGCTCAGGACTGAGGAACTAGAAATAACATGTAGACAAAGAGCAGATTCAGGGGAATGAGGAAATGGGAGGGCATGGACAGGAGGTTGTGGTCAGAGGGGAATTTCAAGAGTTGTAAATGATAAGTTACCAGGTGTGACTACATCAGCCACTAGTTAGAATAGAGGTAGAGGTAGAAATGATAGAATTGAGAAAGTGAAGGAATGGGAAGGCAGCATGTCAGAAGATATGGAATTTGGTAAAAAACAAACTATGAGCCATTGGAAAAGGATGAAGGGAGTCTCCCGGAAATCAGTAGAAAAGGAAGAGGAAAGGATAGTACAAATAAAAGGCATAAAAATAACAGATTTCTTCCTTATGATTCATGTATTACTCAGAGGCCTCCAAATTCCTAGAACTTCTGTTTCAAGTCACTTAGTAGTAACATTCAAATATTCTATTTCTCTGATGTGCTTCACTGTTAAATTCACAGGGCTATTGGACCTCTAAACAAATTGACGTTCTGAATTTCCCTAACAGTCTCCTTCAAATTTAGAGCATGTATAGACTTGCATGCCGGGGCCAGACTCTCTCATACAGGATTAGTTAATAAAACTGAATGATCATATCGGGTAACCAAGACAACTGCCTTAATTATATAGTATCATCGATCTTTCAAAGTGACAACTTTGATGATGTTTCTGATTTGGGATTACAATGACTGAGGATGTAGAGGGAGAAAAGGAATTTCAAGGTACTTTACTGTCTCCATTTCTCTCACCACATAAACACACATCATCCCTTACATAAAAACTGCTCCCATTAAATCCTAAACTTTATTGGATTCTAATAGTAACATTAATAACTAATATATTACACTAGTGAGTGTAATATGAGGATCCATGGCTAGAACAGTCCAGATAAAGGACAATCACTATAGCTTTTGTTATGAATATGGAGAAGTTCTTTCTTCCAGGATCAAGTCAGTGATTGATCTCTCATGTGAATATCCTTATAGTTGAATCTCTGAGTGTGTTTCATTTGGATTAAACTCTTAGAAGCAGAATCTCTGATTCAAAGAGTGTCGCAGGCTAAATAATGGCATCCCAGAGCTGTCCACATCCTACGCAAAATCTGTGAATATGCTAACATGGTAAAAGCAACTTTGTAGATGTGATTAAGGATCTTGAAATGGGGAGATTAGTGTGGATTTTCCAGGGTGGGCCCAATGTAATCACAGGAGTCCTTATAAGAATAGAAGTAGACAATGTGATGATGGAAGCAAGAGATTGGGGTGATGTGAGGAAGGAGCCGTGTGCTAGGCAATGCAGGAGCCTCCAGAAACTGAAAAAGCTGGAAATTTATTCTCCTTTCAGAGCTTCCAGTAGGAACCAGTCCTGCTGGCACATGGACTTTAGCCCAGTAAGGCTGC